TGTGCTGATTGTGCCGTATTCTCTTGACATCCTCCCCTGCCCGGAAACAGTCGTCAGGGTGTCCCATTCAACTTCCCAGAATGGGTTTTCGTCGTGCCTTTGTTTTGTGGGTTTGAGCGGTTTGAGTGTGGTCACTGTCAACTGGAAAGGGGGAGAACCCCAATGCATTCTCTTGGCATCCCGCCGTGCAGGAAAGCTCCTTATCACACCTGGGGCCATGCTGCCGGGCTCTCAGTTGTTTCATCTTCACTCGCTGACGAGCGAGCGTCCGGTAGCTCACGCCGTCGTTCCGCATGCTCACCGAGCGAGAAAAGCACTGAACGAGCATGAAGAAACAATTGAAAGACCTGAGCAAGGTTGCAACATGTCTTTTAAGAGACGTCCAGTCGTGACGGATTTTTGAGGGTAATACAAGAGGCTGAATAATCACAAATTACAAAGGTTATTTTCCCGTGATCATGACTGAATGTACCCTAACCCCCGAATTCCTCTTAATTACAGTAAATGGGTGTGGGTCAATGTTAAAACATCAGGGGACCGCAGATTTTAGTCCGTGTTTCCATTTACCTGGGCAAGCCATTTGGGGTACCTATTTTTGACCCACAGCGAAATGTAGCTCCCTTTGGTCAACAAAAGTTGCACCAACGTGACACCACTCGCAGAGCTCCTCCTTCGACGCATTGTCCAAATGCCCCCTCGCGCTAAGCGCTCAGCGCACAGAGAAGCTGAGCCGAGCGATGCATTTGCTGAAATGAATATGCTCGTGTTATATATATATATCCCCTGTTGGGTTTAATCGGAATCTATGACTACTGGAAATATCACAATTCATTTTTTTCAGGGGACTTAAGCAAATCGAAGTGTTGTTTTGCGAATAGACTCCACCTGAGCCACGGTCAAAACCCTGGGCAGATGCAGGTTAAGGGACAATCCAAAGCAGGAATGGGTGCAGCCGCCTTTTAACTCTTTACGCGGTTGTGGGTATTAAATACCGGCTGTCTTTCCCCGGCTTTCTTTGGAAGGTACCCCTTTGGGGGTCTTTTTGAAGGTTCACCAAAAGCAACACCTATTTCGTATTTCGGTGGGTTCCCATTTTATGAGGGGACACCCCTAATATCGAAGAAAACCCCGTCTCTGTCTACCCGCGGTGCCCTTTTCTCCTTTTGTTTGGGGGAAGAGTGTCCCTTTAAAGTCCACCAACCCAAAGAGTCGGGCGCCATTTCTTTTTTCTTGTTTTTTCCGAGTACCCGCCCATTTTTGGATTTTTAAATGAAAGCGACCGTGCGTCAGGTGGATGCCACCTTCACGCTGTGGCGTGTCATAGATCTCGTCTCCGCGGAGCGGGTCTGGTATTGCACGAGTGGCGTCGGGGAAGCATGGGGGCTCCTCTAAATCCCTCTTCTTGGCTGGGGGTCAAAACCGTCATGGGATCCCATTTTTTCAGTGGTTGGATTGGGATGTTCGCTGGGGGTACGGGGTTTTGACCCGTGGCCGCTTCGGCGATGGGTTCCATGTGCAGAAGCTCAGATGGCTTGGAATATTGGGTTTGGTTCCTTTGAGGAAGGCCAAGTGTTGTAAAAAAAAATGCTGGTGCGATAGGTAGGGAATGACCTTCCGGGTTTTGGGATTGAACCGTTTGGGAATTCCCGAATAGAGGAAGCCAACTCGGGGATGGTTTATAGGGGTCGTTCCAGCTCATTCCCTGGCTATAAAACCAGCAAAAAACTAGTTAAATATTCAGACTTCCCCACTTTCAGCACTTGTGTTCAGGAAAGCTTGTTTGGTGTAACATGCTGGAAGGTATTCTTTTGGGAAGTTGCAGCACTCTTCTCAAGGTCAACATGGAACCCAAAAACCGGTGCATGGGCGGTTCCCTGAAGGAGTGTCAAGACAGAACTGATTGCAACTTGGCCCTTTGTTTAGGGCCATAATTCTTCATTTTTAGGTTAGGGTTCATACAACTCCCCCTCTAAAGATGCCTCAGCTGTCGCACCACTTGGGCTGGGTGGGTCCCCAATGAAGATTGGCTAATATGGGTGGTGCGTCCTTTGAGATGGCACCCATTTTTGTGGCTTTTGAAGGGAAACCAAGAGGAGAACCAAGGCCCTTTTGGGAGGAATGGACTTTTGGCACACTGACTCAAGCTGAGCCTTTTTGTTCCCGACGGCACCAGGAGACGTATCTGGGCCACCTGGAGTGTGAGGGCCTCGCAAGCTCGACAGCTGTGCACACCGCGGTAGTTTCTGCTGGTTGGGCTTGTGGGCGGTAAACGACAGGACCTGTACCAAGGGACTTGACCCATGAAGGGATTTGATTTGTTTAGCCTTTTGGGGATTTCTTTGTTTCCCCAAAGAGTGGGTTGGGGGATACAAGGCGGCAGTACTCTGAATAGACGAAGCTGCACCAAGTTAGCATGGATGAAGCCCTGGGGGACGGACCACCTATCAACTGGCGAGCTCCGTTCACAGTACTAGGTCTTGGTATGCATCAGTACCAGTACGCGTCATGAAGAGATTGATAGGTCCCACGCTGAAGGTGTCGAACTCGGGCGTAGTTGCTTTAAGATATGACCACGTACTCCAACATTCCAACTGTTTTGGGGGTATATTTTGGAAGAAGCGGGTTTTTGCACGGTAACTACTCCTTGCTTGATCAGAGGTTGACCTACCCCAAAAACTCGGGGGTCATTCGCAGCCTGGCCTTTCTGCGAGTAAATGTGGTTTTTGCTTCTGTTCAACCGGGGATGCTCAGCTGTTTTGAGCATCCATGTGCTTCGACCAAATGGTATCCCCAGGGTTGGACTTGTCCTTGTAGTGGCTCAAACAAAGCAAGAGTGTACACATTTTGCCATGTTCCTATCTCCGAATCATTTTTTCGGAGGGCACGTAATAGCCTGTGAATGCCTTGCAAGGCCTGGCCCATCCAACTCGTCCGCCCGACTCGCGCGTCGATCCGTGGATCCGTTGATAGGTCTGGGGCTGATGGTGGCCTCTCTGGGCCACGACATCGGCCACATGGGCCTCAGCAACGTCTTCCTCACAGAGCTGGGATCCCCAGCGGGCGCGGCGGAGTCGAGTGGGGCGAGGGCGCGGGGAGAGTCGCGGGGGGAATGGGAGTGGGGGGAGAAAATGCGCGGGAGGGAGGGTAGGGGGTGGGTAGGGGGCGTAAAATATGGGTGGCGCAGCTTTGTGATGAAGGGGAACTCATTTTTTTTTGTATTTGTTGTTGGTCGGCGCCCATGTTTGGGGGCAAGATGTTTGGTTTTGAAGGGACGCCAGAAGGAAAAACGCCATGCGCCATTGTGGGGGCAATTCAGGGTGTTCGAGCCACGTCCCTTTAAAAGGAAACTCCACAAGTGACATGGAGCCAATGATCTTCAGGAATGATCGGTTGGACAGATTTCTAAACTCGTGGTTTTGACCACGTGTTTCCCTCGCTTTTGGCTAAACAAGAAAACAGGTTGGAAGTGATTGGAAACAACTTCGGCTCGCGAGGGAATTCTATATGTTGGTTTGTGGTTTTCTCGGATGTTTTTTTCTTTTTCTTTTTTTCTGAGGGTGCCGCTTTTAGGTGGGTTCAAAGGGAAACCGCTATTTTGATGCATACCCGCAGGAACCTTCCGAGATGTCATTTTGCCTTAGGATTTTGTGCCTCGTCTTTCGTATTCCGGTTTGTACTTGCAGCTGCGTGCTCCTGTGTTTGAGTCGGGGCGGGAGACAACCAGCTGACTTGCAAGTGTAGGAGGCTGTTTACGACTGATTGCAGAGGATGCGATACCTCGTGTTGCCATGTCTGCCATGGTCCAAACTCCTTGTGTAGGCCATGGTTATGCTTCTGGTTTCCTCAATAGGATGTCTTATTGTCTTATCATGTTTGTGTCAATGGAAGGGTCCGGGAGACCATCCTTGCCAACCCCAGGTAAATAAATGTGTCCTAAAGTAGGGGACCAGACACATGGTTGTTGTCGGGAAACATTTCAAATTTGCGCTTACATGTGGTGTAGTGGTTGAAATCCAACCACTTAACTGCTAACAGGATTCAAACTTTTGCCCCCCTTCCAGCGTCAACCAAGAACATGTTGGCTTTCCCTTTGGTTCTTTTTTGGGGCCACCGTGGGAACACAAAGCCTGAGGATCGAACACGAGCTGGCCATTTGCTACAATGCCCCAGTCTTGGGCATGCGCAGCGAGAGAGTTCCAGGGCTTGCTTTTGGAGGCTTCCGCTGGGTGAAAAATGTGTTTTTCTATTGTTCCCCTTGTTGGTTTTAAAGGGAATCTGCGAGTCTTTTTTTCGTGTTGGTTTTAAAGGGCATCTATGAGCTTTTGTTGTTTTTGTTTCTTGTTGGTTTTAAAGTTGGACTCTATGACTACTGCAAATACTTGTTCTTCCCAGGGGACTTCAGCTAATGGAGGGAGGCGACCTGTTTTGGGTTGGTTTGAAGAGCAATTTGGTTTCTGGCGCAGTTGCCGGCTGTCTTCCTTTTTGGCGTGATGTTAGCTAGGTCCCCCAGTAGTGCCCTTTTGCTCTTTTTTGGGGTTCCCCTACTAAAATAGACTACAGAAAAAGGGTACCCTTATTCTAACCTCTCTACTGGAGGACCTAGTTAAGCTGGGTCGTCCAGAATCACTTCTTAATCCTTATGCCAGATGGTAGTGGTTTCTCTTGTTGTGGCGGTGTTCCACTCCGGATTGCGGATTTGGATTCGGGATCCAATCCATTTGGCTGGGGTCTTCTCCGAAACAATTGTATATGTTTAGGCCAATTCGATGGATGATTCAGAAGCATCACATCCACTTCCATTTGCTTTTCCCCCTGTTGGTTTTAAAGGGAATCTATCACTACTTGAAATATTTAGATATTTTCCAGGGGGCTGAAGCAAACGGCAGTCTATTTTTTTTTCCTGGTACACCCTTACGATGCCAAGTTCAGGGGATGGAACAATTGCCAGACGAGTCGGAACCCCAATGTGGTGCTGTCAGGACATCTCCACCTTGGAGAACATGCATTGCAGCAAGCTGTTCAAGATCCTCCGGAAGAAAGAGTGCAACATCTTCTCAGAGCTGAGCGAGGCACGCCGCTTCGAGCAAATTGGGATGGGGGGGGGGGGGTGGGAGTTGGGACCCCCTTTTCGGTTGGTCAGAGGGGAATTGAGAAGAAGCCAACAATTTGTGGAGTGACCTAAGTTTCAGACCATCCAGCATGGCGACATATGCAAAGGGCTCAGAGGAAGATAAGCAAGCCCAAAACACCCATCATTGGAATGAGCCATCTGCCAAATCCCACACAAGCAGCATGAGGTATTGCCAATGTGGGGGTTGATGAGTATTCCTGGCCCCAAAGGACCATGGGTAACTTTTCCCATTTAGCAGGATATCATTTGTTAAGTGGTTTCCCCAATGGTCATCCCATGCAAAGGACATGTTGATCAACCCCGCTGTCTAGCTAAGCGTTTTGTCGTGAGAGACACTTCGAGCGCCGAGCTTGCCAGTCGATGTGGTCCCACATCCGCCACGTCATCGTGGATTCGATCCTTGCTACGGACTTTGCCGTGGAGCCGTCATGTTTTCTGAGCGCATTTGCCCTCCCACCAATGAACATGGAACCTGACTTTTGGGACCCGGTCCCTTTAAAATGAAAATGGTCCAAACCAGGACCCTCCCGAATCGTTTGGTTCCATGTCAATTGGTGGGAGGGTGCTTTATGCAGCAGCTGGATGCTTTGAGACGCACAGGTTCAATACGTATGGAGAAGTACTGGGTCGCTCCCGAATGCCATGGTTGTAACACGGGCATGTTGACCCAAGCACCATCAGGAAGCCTCAATTGCCATCAGGAAGCATGAACGTGCCATGAGGGCGGTACTGCATTTGCTTTGAGACAAAGGGAGTGTGTTGTTCATGACCAAAAAACGGTGTTGAAGCACCCCGGGAAGGAGCATGGTTTAGACAAATATGTTCATATGTGTATTCATACATGATTCATTTGCACATTCATGGAGGGTTAATGTGTTTTCGTTGCCTTCTGCCCATTCATCTCACTTCTTGCGCCAGCAACACACCGGCATGGTCAAGGACCGCACGAGGGAAAGAGGGAGTGAGAGCGAGAGAGAGAGGGAGAGAGAGATACCAACACCCCTCGCAAAAGCTGTTTTTTGCTTTTTGGACCGTACTTGGGATTTGGACATGGGAAGAAACAGGCATGTTGGGGTGCTGGTAATAGGAAGAATGAAAGTTCAGAGAACAGGAAGTTCGCACATGCTGTTCTAGAACCAAGCGGATCCAAGTAGCCTCGTTTTAGATAGTTCTGGGTCGCTCGAAGGATATTATTTTAGTTACACATGTCCGACTCCGCCAAACACTCTCCTGCAGATTCACATGGGGCCCACCAAGCCAAAGTTTGTAGCGGAAAGCTCCTATTGGGGGAAGCTCCTTCTTGGGTTCCATGAGAATTTGCGGGGGAGTACTTGGACCCTCCCAAGAGAAGCCTTTTACAACACCCCTTCTTTCGAGGCATATACTGCTAGTTGGCACGGGGATGTCTCAAAGCTGTCGGATAAAGCTGGCCATTTCCTTGAGAGTTGGGAGTGGATTGGAATAACCTGGAGCTGTTTGTTTCTGCATATCTGTAGCGTGGTTGTCTTTGTGCTTAAGTTATTGTCACGAATATGGCATTCACATCACGAAGGACTAGCTTCGGGGTTCCTGCGCCAAACATGCCAAACAAATGTGTATATCTCAAATTTAGGGACTCCCTATGGACCCCCTGCATGGGTATTGTCCTTTTTGGGAAGACCCAAGCAAAAAGGGGAGACCGAAGCAACAACCCCCCGAGCCAGCCGCAGGAGTTCGAATCCATGTACGGGGTGAACGCGGAGCTCTTCGATACCGCGGACGAGCTGCAGCTGGCTCAGCTTGAGTTGGTCGGTCTGCGGCCGAATCTCTCGAACGGGGGGGAGGGGGTTTTGGGGGCGGGCGGGCGGGCGGGCGGGGCGGAGGGGTAGGGGGGGTGGCAGGGGGATGGTAGGGGGGGTGGTAGGGGGGGTTCCCGCACTCCGCCAGGAAGCTTGTTGAGGAAAACCCGGTTGGGGCAAATGGTTTGGGAACTTACCCTTGGGGATTCTAGAATCTGTGTGTCTCAAACAAGTCCCCTGGTACCATACAGACGGATGGGCCGAAAAGTGGTCCTGGATTCAAGGCAAAGCCAGTGAGAAAGTGTCGGTTCATGTCATGTTGTCTCATTGGGCAACCCCCATGAGTGATATTCCCTTGATATCCATGATATTGCACGCAAACAAAAAACTAATTAGTTTTTTTCATGGAACCCAAAGAGCCCCTCACAGAGGACTCTCCTTCTGAATATCGGACTCCTTTATCTTTGGGTTCCTTCCCTCGATTAGGCAGAGGAGTACTTACAAAACTTGGTGGCTCCCAGCCATCCGGTTCGTTGGCTTGCCCAAGCTTTTTAGTGTTTAGTGGGGTTTTCCATTTGAGGACAGCTCAGAAAAGCCAGGGCACGACTTGCGACTCAGGTACATGGTCTCGGAGGAGTTCCCGCCACGGGAGCTGATGGAGTATTTCAAGACCCCCGATGTCAAGAAGACCCTCAGGACCCGGGGTGTTGCCCAAGCTAACCACTTTCCGACGGCCTGACCATTTTCGATTGGGATGGCTTGCGCACAAATCCCTTTTGGAGGCACATGTTTTAAGCAGGGGGGGCCCCTGTAGGACTCGGAAATCAACCCGGTCCGGTCGAGTCCGGTCGCGAGTCGCCGCCGCCTTTGCGATCGATGGGACCCGTTGGAGGTGCGAGCAACACCAAGCCTTTTCGTGCCACTTACTTGGGTTTTCTGGTGGATCATCATCTGTGATTCAGTCTTTAGGTATTTGGGATTACCAGTGTTGCTGTGTGTTCTTTTTGAGTTTGATTGAGTTGTGAAGATTGAATCATTATCAGTGGCAGGGTTGTTGGGGCATCAACCTTCAGTTCGTCCGGCTCCGCAAACACTTTCACAAAGCAGCGAAGACGCGCGGTGCCCGACCCAAGTTTTGCGCCACACAAGATAAGACCAGAGGGAAAAAAAAGAGTTCGCAGGCAAAGAGGTGCACCTGTGAACGTGTGAACTCTCCTTTCAGGCCTCAAAAGCTCTCACTTTCTGTTGCATATTTGTTTCTCAGATTTTCTGCAAAGTCGCTTGGGAAGGCGTCAGAATTCTGCAACGGCAAAATGATGATGCTGTTGCATTTGGATGGACTCGGAGCCATAGATTTCAATAGCCCAGGGTAGCGAGTGGACATGAATTCCCACTCAACAATGATGCCCATCAAGAGGTCCGTAAACAAACGCCACTGTATGGAGCACTTTTTCTGCCACAGGACGGTGCTGTTGCACTTCAGCGACATCTCTAATCCCATGAAGCGCGGAACTCGAAGAAATGTCGACTCAGGAGTTGAGAGGGGGCAAGTTTAAGCAGATGGTGGTGCTTTTTGAGAACCCTTTGCGGAACGCTCCGGGTTTCATTCAAAAGGCATCAAATTGAGCATACCCATTTGATCTGTTTTGGGAGATTTCCTGGCTGAAGACAAACCTGTGGAAGCATGCACATAGATATAAACAATATGTGTACGTATAGATATACACACACACAACACACAGAACACATGCGCACAAAGAAACACACACACACATGCACAATACACAAACGCAGACACACAAACACACACACACACACAAGACACACAAACACACAACACGCACAAACACAAACACCACAACAACTATACACAAACACACACACACACAAACACACAAACACACAAACACACAAATACACAAACATACACAAAGACACAAATATACACAAACACAAGCACACAAACACAAACGCAAACATATACAAGCACATCAACACAGAAACACGCAAACACACAAACCCTTACACAACCGCACACACAGACACATGAACACAAGCACACACACAAGACACACACACACATACACACAAGCACACAAAAAACAATTCATGCACAAACACAAACACACACACACACACCAAAAAAACAAACATGCAACAACAACACTGACACACACAAGATACACACAAACACCATCGCAAGCACACACGCACATGCAGTGGGCTTTGACATTTAACATGGGATGTGTTTGCACGCGGTTTCCTGCTGTTGCCCCTTCTGGCACTGGTTTTGTTGGTCCTCTGTTGGCCTTCTGTGTTTGCTCTGCAGGGGTGCGTTGTGCGCACAAGTAGCATCACAGCCGTACCCGATACAAGCACACAAACACACACTTGTGAAATCCCCCCTCTCTCGGTCCTTGTTGTGTCTCATTTCTTCTGCGAGGGTCAGGATCAAGCCCAGTGGGCACACATGCACTTTAATTGATTGTAGTTGGAGTGGAGTTTCGTCATCCTTGGGCCCTACTCGTCAGGGCCACAGACTAGACCCAAGGATGGCTGTGGCCTACTCCACATATTTGGAAAAGAAATGGAGCGTCCGGATAGCCGGCACCACCTCGACAATTTGCAAAGACTTCCAGCTTGCGAGTCTGACAAAGAACTCAGATCAGCCCTTGGCAACAGGGATGGACACACACAATCAGCCACGCGGCACTTCTTTCGCCATGGACATTGCAGCCTGCGCAGAACCCAAATCCAACCGCTGGGCCCCAGCCGGGTGTGTAAAACGCCCGCAGGCCAAACTAAAATGAACAAGACGTGAAAAGGCTCCAAGCCCTGAGACCTGTACAGAGCCAGACGCGCCGCAGTCACCGCGACTTGCAAAGAGAATCGTTGCAAAAGGGCCAAAGGGATCTCGCGCAAAGCGAGGAACAAGAAAAAGAACAAGAAAACAACAAAAAGAACGAACAGATCCGAGATGCTCCACTAACGCCGGGGCCGCAGCCGGGTATTTGAATCACCCGCGGGCCAGAAAAAACCGACGGTTTGCTGCAGGTCTAAATGGCAAATTGCAACGACGGCCTAGACAGCAGCAAAAACATACATCGGGGGGATTACGGCCTCTCAGGCCCAATGGGCATGCTGGTTTCCCAGGCGATAGACATCGCTGGCAGTCTCCGTTGTGCTTCACAGCACTAACCATGAAATGGCAACTGAGTGGGAAGACTCCCAAAGCTTGGCGGAACAAAGGCAAGTTCCAAACAGACCTGGGGACCTCAAGGGTCAAAACTGACATCTGAGGGTCAAATGAATGACCAATGCTGCGCGCGAGCCGATGGCAAGGCTCAATCAAACACAGCAGGCTATCCTACCGCAGGCAGCCCGTTAAACGAACTACTGCCTGGATCACACTTGTGAAATCCCCCTCTCTCGGTCCTTGTTGTGTCTCATTTCTTCTGCGAGGGTCAGGATCAAGCCCAGTGGGCACACATGCACTTTAATTGATTGTAGTTGGAGTGGAGTTTCGTCATCCTTGGGCCCTACTCGTCAGGGCCACAGACTAGACCCAAGGATGGCTGTGGCCTACTCCACATATTTGGAAAAGAAATGGAGCGTCCGGATAGCCGGCACCACCTCGACAATTTGCAAAGACTTCCAGCTTGCGAGTCTGACAAAGAACTCAGATCAGCCCTTGGCAACAGGGATGGACACACACAGACACAAACACACGTACCCAAAACATTCGCAATCACAAACACCCACACACCCACACACACAAACACGCACAAAAGCGCAACACAATACACAAACACACGCAGACGCAAACATACACCAACACAAACACACAAACACATATACGCACAAGCAAAAGACATAAAACAAAACAGACTTACAGACACACACACACAAACAAAGACACAAACACAAACACACACACAAACACACACACACACACACCCACACCCACACACCCACACACCACACACCACACACCACACACCACACACCACACACCACACACCACACAACACACAACACACAACACACAACACACAACACACAACACACAACACACAGCACACAGCGCACAACGCACAACACACACAACACACAACACACAACACGCAACACACAACACACAACACACACAAACAAACAAAGACACAAACACAAACACACGCACAGGAACACACACACAAAGACACCCACACACACAAACACACAAACACAAACACACGCACACGAACACGCACACACACAAACACACACACGCAACACACACACACACACACACACACACACACACACACACACACACACACACACACACACACACACACACAGACACCCACACCCACACGCACGCGCACGCGCACGCGCACGCGCACGCGCACGCGCGCGCGCGCACGCGCACGCGCACGCACGCACGCACGCACGCACGCACACACACACACACGCACACACACGCACACACGCACACACGCACACACGCACACAAAGACACAACCACACACACACAAACACAAACACACACAAAGACATACCCACCCACACACACAAAGACACAAACACAAGAACAATCACAGACACAAACATACAACACACACACAAAGACACACAAACACAAAGACACAACCACCCACACACACACACAAAGACACAAACACAAACACAAACACAGACACAAACACACAACACACACACAAAGACACACACACACACACAAACACACAAACACACAAAGACACACCTGTCGCCGGTTTTCTCCAGGTTTCCATTGGTTTCGGGTGGTGAGATGTAGGCCCTTCCCGGTGGCGGAGCGCTGGGCGGAGCTGGTGCTCCAGGAGTTTGCCCTGCAGGGGGACGAGGAGAAGGCGGCAGTCTGGTCGTTCGCGGGGCTCATGGATAGAGTTGGCTGGGCTTTCGCGGGGGCTATGGATAGATGTAGGGATGGGAATCTATCTATAGATGACCTTTTCAAAGGAAACAACCAATTCCGCCTTGATACCAAAGTGAGATTCCCCCATCCCTATATCTTTTGCACTTTCGCTTGGATGTCCTCATCACAGCCACCTGTCACCCTACTCGACTCCATCTGGACAATTTACCATATTTCTCCCCTTGTTACCTCGATTCTGACCTGAATTTACTTGCCTGCCTCGTACCTCGGCTGTCGTGCTAGTTTGCCCAGACTCCATGACCCCCGCGAAGGAAAGACATTCTATGGATCGAGTCGGCTGAGCTTTCGATAGAGTTCCAAGCGAAAGTGAAGAAAACTAGAGGGATGGGGGAATCTAGAGGGACACAAAAATAGGGATGGATGGTTGCGAAATCCATTTCGCACCACCTGAGAAGCCCTGGTTTCTGATGATTCCCTTGTAAATACCAACAGACAATGGTTTCCGTGGCTTCTTTGGTGGTGCAGGATTTCGTCCAGGGACGGGGGATCTTACTTTGGTGTCTTTGCTTATGGGATGTAGGAATGGGAATCTCACTTATCGCAGTATCGGATTTGTTTCCTTCGCGCAGGTCATGGAGTCGGGTAGGGTGACGGGTGGCTGTGATGAGGACATCCAGTATATAGGGATGGGGGAATCTCACTTTGGTATCAAGGCGGAATTGGTTGTTGCTTTATACAGGTCATGGATTGAGTTGGGTGGGCTTTCGATAGAGGAGTTGGCGAGGAAATCCATTCGAAAGTGCTCGGATGTAGGGATGGGCATCTCACTTATCACAGTATCGGAGTTCTTTCCTTGGCGAGGGTCATGGACAGAGCAACTCGGTGGCTGTGACAATGCGCAAATCCAAGCAAATGTGAAAAAATGTACGGATGGGGATCTTACTTTGGTATGTTTGGCTTCACAGAAAGGGTTTTTGTCCACAAACATGGCTGGGTGTGTGTTTGTGTGTGCAAAAATAGGGATTTGGACTTTGGACACCCCCAAAAAAACCAAACATCGATGCGGTTTTAAGATCCTCAAACAAAGACACACACACACACACACGTTTCCGTTTGAAGAACCAGAGTGCCACGTAGCAGGGGCTTGGAGTAGCAAAAAGCCACACCTTGGCTTAGGGAAACCAAGCGGGCGGTGGTACTCTGAGACGTCCAAGCAATCAAGCACATCCTGAGGTAGTTGGGTCTGTCTTTTCGAGCGTGCCCTTTTTGGGGCTGGCCGAAGGGAAACCAAAAGGAAACCAAATGATTTTTTGGTGGGGGGCCCCCTCAAAAAGACACCCATGCATTAGCCCTTTCGGGCTGATGATGATTGTTGCAAAACGAGGGACCAAACTTGGAGACAGTCGCACCCATGACATTGCCCTAATGTACCCTCCCACCCAATCAACGTGGAACCTGACAAGGGGCCCCTGGAAGACCATTGTCCTTTTGAAGGGACCACCCTGTGGGTTCCATGTTGATTGGTGGGAGGGTAGCGCAAATCGACTCCACGCAAAGTTTGTGCATCCACCCCAGTGCGCCTTCCCTTTTGCAGGAAAGGGTCGGCGGATTTTGGTGAACGGCTTCAATATGGATACTTGTATTTGTGAAAATAGGAGCACCCCCAAAAATGATTTTCCTTCTGGATCCCCTTTGGACCATGGTGAAAAAGGCTATTCTCAAACATCCGACAAACAAACGAGCAGGGATGGGAGCATTGTTTTAGAGGCAGCTTTAGACACGGTTTCCCTTGCAGGGAGCATCTTCGCTTCTCCCGGTTCCCCCCAAAATTTGAAAGATGCTTCCCCTTTTCTCCGTTTTGCTTGCTTCCATGATGGTCACCCCCGACAAGGGTCACTGAACTGGATTTTTATCACCTTTTGGTGCCCAATTGAAGGTGAGTTGCCCAAAGCCAACCTTTGGACCTTGTTTCCCTGTTCTGGCCCATTTTTAATCATGGCCCCAAAAGGTTAACCTTTCACTTCCAGGTCAAAGCTCTTTTTTTTGTTCTTTTCCTCGGTGGCAATAACTCAGCCCTAAGAGCCGCCATGGCCTTTCGATCGGAGGCCTTAGGCATCCCCGTGGGCCCCTTGAACGACCGGGACTCGGTGAACATGGCCATGTCACAGGCTCGCCAAGCGCCAGTTCGTCTCGCGCGCCCAGTTGGCGTCGGTGCCGCTGGGGTTCCGGGGGCTTTTTTTTGTTGTTCCATTTGCTGACAAGTGCCGGATGCACCTCTAGGTCCCCCAGTGCCCTTCTCTTCCGTTTCTTTTTTGGTTGGGAGGGTTAAAAAGGGGTACTCTTGGTTATCCTCTCTACTGGAGGACCTAGACTTGGGGGGTCAATGGTGTCAAACTTGGGCGCTCGAGCTGTGGGCGACAAGGGGACAGGGGACCCGTTGGGAACCCCAGTAACTACTCCAAATAGGGAGCCCTTCAGCTTATGTTTCCCCGTTGATTTGCCTTACCCTGTTTAGAACCCCGTCCAAAGAAGGGATTCTGCGTCTCCCCGCTTTGGCACATACCCGACAATTGTTGGTGTCCTTCTGTTTTCCTTGCACTGCTATCTGAAAAAGGGGATGTTTGGATTGGCGGCTCGGTTCTCTGTGGCTTCCCAATCACCCTCTACAGGAACCAGGGCTGCAAGTCTTATCAAGCCAACCCTCCTGATCTGATCATCAATGAGCCCATGGGAATCCATGTAGATTTGAGTCGCCATGAGGGCTTCCGAGCCATGTCCAACTCTAACGGGAGCCTCCAAACGTGGCGATCGTTTCATTGGAACCCACCAGTAAAATTTAAAATTGATTAAGATTGATCAACTGAAGGCGCAATCCATGTTGAGGCCCCTAAATTGCTTGAGACAATGTCTCCTTCGTCGTCTCCCCCGCATCGATCGGATCGATCTCCCGTTCTCAGATCGGATTCATCGAGTTCGTGGTGGCGCCTTTGGCCTTGGCGCTGGCGCCCGCCTCAAGGTCTCGCTGTCGAGTCCGCCCAACTCTCCCTGAGTTCCAACGCTGACTTTACTGACTTCCATTTGCTTGAGATTTGTTTTTCCCTGTTGGTTTTAAAGGGAATCCATCACCACGTGAAAAATACGATTCCAGGGGACTTAAGCAAATGGAGGGTCACTGTTTGGCTTTGGGCCATCTTAGTGGCAAAGAAAAGACATTTTTTCTAGCCAATCCACGCAGAAAGTGAGAATAAACACGGCTCTTTGGGACCCAAAAATGTCTTGTTTTTGAGATGGTACCCTTAAAAGAAAACCGAAAGGACAACCAAAAAATCGTTTGGGGTGAACCAGAAAAAGACGCCCAAATTGCAGTTCCATCAAACCTGCAAGAGGTGATCGACCCTTTTGCTCAGAGCAAGCTGGTATTGTTTGAACCTCCCATTTGGGCGCGAGCTTAGCGGCCCGTGCTTTGTTTAAACAATGTCTGATCAATGCATACTCACCAACACGCAGCCAGGTGGATGAAACCGCTTGGAAAAAGGACCCTCTATGTGGGTTCCTTTTCGATGACCTTTCGCCAAAGGTATTTTAAAGCGCACGCCTGGATAGACCTGGCTCGGCGCTGTGGATGTTCCAGAAGTCGATGATCTCTGAGCAGTAGGTTTTAGAGCTTGTAGTGGGTTTAGTGATTTCCATTCATCCCACGAAAAGCTGAACTTTCAGAGGGGGATCTCAGGGCAGCGCCTTTTTTTGGGTACGCCCTTCGGTTGCCTCTCCCAAGGCTCGCATCCTGCCGCCGATCTATTTTACCAACCAGATGATCATCGCCGGCCTGGCCTGTCGCGCCCTGCAAAACGTGGCCACTGAGCGCCGCAAAGGGGGGCAAGACAAAGAGGGGCGGCAGTTGTTTGGGCATGTTGGAAAGTGGAAACGAATGAAGTCAAAGTCTCCACAAGGCACATGGATGTTTTTTTTTGTTGGGTAACCCCAAAATGGTGGTCTGCCTTTTGGTTTCCCCTTTAAAGAAGAACAACATAGGGGACCCTCAAAAAAGACACCCCCACATGGGCGTCGAGCGTGTCTCAAAATAAGTGTCACCAATATGGAGGTCTTCCCAAATGCTTCCCCAAAGAGGGTACCGTGAGCTTCAGTCAAAATATCCAGTCTATGGGGACACGCGTGACGAACTCTAAGCTTGCCACAAAGACCAGGGGGATCCACTCACTTGTAATTTCCTTATTAGTTGGATAAGCCCAGGATGAGTCGAGGATAAGCCCTCAAGGCCTTATCAAGGGGGTAACAAGGGATCTTTTGGGGGTCCATGACCCATGTCTTAGGTTGACCTTGGAAAGTTGTTCGATGGCGATGGCTTGGTGATGACTAGGTCCCCCAGTAGTGCTCCCTTTACTGGAGGACCTAGCCAAAATTGGGTGTGTGTTTTTTTCCTAACAATCAGACCCCCCCCCAACCAAAAGAAAAAATGCTTCGGTTTTCCCTTTGGTCGTTGAACAAAAGTCTTCTCGCGCCAGGACAATGCCAACATCTGGGTGGACAAATGGATCGAGGGAACCTTGCTGAAGCCCAGCCTGGAGGAACAGGCGCGGAGGGAGGCCCCGGTTGCGCGGTTCTGTGCCAAGCGAGTTGCCCATATCCACTTGGTGTTTTCTTTGAAGGGGCTTCCCTTTGCGGGGTTTCTTGTTTTTTTTTTCTATTTGGGGGGGGGGGGGGGAGGGTAGGTTTCTCTTGAAAACAGATTCCCAAAACAGGGTGCCCTTTTTTCCGAGGTTAGCCACGCTAGTGGAAAACTTGGTTGTAGTACGTAGCCCTTTCGAAGTGATCCAGTAGTCATGAGGAGGTCCTTCTTTGACAATTTTCACTGTCGCTGATATTTTTCACGACCCCTTGGCCCCCTCTAGGTCCACGTTCTGCGATACCAAGAAGATCTCTAAAGTGATACACTAGGCATTGGAATGGCCCACTTCCAGAACCATGACACATGTGCACGATAAAGAAACACAATAATGAGTTTTTTGCACAAAATAATCATGACCATATTGTTTAGATAACAACCCCTGTTGTTTAAACTATTAAACAACCATTTATAAGTACCAATTCATACACAACCATTTATGAATAACCATGTGGTCAATCTCCAGGGTGTGTCTCACAGGGCCATCCAGCTAATTTTCAATTCGTGGACCTGCGGCGAGACTTGTCGCACAGCAAATGTCCTGCTGGCGTGGCTTGTCCTTCGTATGATTGAGGTTTGGAGTAACCATCGACAAAGTGATGGCAGATAAACGGGGCCGATTGACAGGCCGCGCGGCCCCTGATATGAGCTGCAGAAAATGCCCATGATGACAAAGTGGCCCCGGGGCCCCTGATATGAGCTGCAGAAAATGCCCATGATGACAAAGTGATGGCAGATAAACGGGGCCCCTCGACAAACGGGGCCCCTAATATGAGCTGCAGAAAATGCCCATGATTGCAAAGTGATGGCAGATAAACGGGGCAGATCGACAGGCCCCGGGGCCCCTGATATTAGCTGCAGAAAATGCCCATGATGACAAAGTGATGGCAGATAAACGGGTCCGATCGACAGGCCCCGAAACCCCTGATATGAGCTGCAGAAAATGCCCATGATGACAAAGTGATGGCAGATAAACGGGTCCGATCGACAGGCCCCGGGGCCCCTGATAAGAGCTGCAGAAAATGCCCATGATGACAAAGTGATGGCAGAAAAAAAAGGGCCGATCGACAGGCCCCGGGGCCCCTGATAAGAGCTGCGGAAAATGCCCATGATGACAAAGTGATGGCAGATAAGCGGGGCCGATCGACAGGCCCCGGATATGAGCTGCAGAAGATGCCCATGATGACAAAGTGATGGCAGATAAACGGGGCCGATCGACAGGCCCCGGGGCCCCTGATATGAGCTGCAGAAAATGCCCATGATGACAAAGTGATGGCAGATAAACGGGGCCCCTCGACAAACGGGGCCCCTAATATGAGCTGCAGAAAATGCCCATGATGACAAAGTGATGGCAGATAAACGGGTCCGATCGACAGGCCCCGGGGCCCCTGATAAGAGCTGCGGAAAATGCCCATGATGACAAAGTGATGGCAGATAAACGGGGCCGATCGACAGGCCCCGGATATGAGCTGCAGAAGATGCCCATGATGACAAAGTTATGGCAGATAAACGGGTTCGATCGACAGGCCCCGGGGCCCCTGATATGAGCTGCAGAAAATGCCCATGATGATAAAGTGGTGATGGCAGATAAACGGGGCCGATCGACAGGCCCCGGGGCCCCTGATATGAGCTGCAGAAAATGCCCATGATGACAAAGTGATGGCAGATAAACGGGGCCCCTCGACAAACGGGGCCCCTGATATGAGCTGCAGAAAGTGCCCAAAGAATCAGCCAAGATTCAAGGCTTGACATGTCCTTCATGCTGGTAACGCCTGTCCTGGCTTTCAACGTTGAGATGACGACATCTTTGCGGCTCATTCGAACTGCTGAGATGTTGGTAGGTGTCAAAAATCGCCCCCCCCCCCCCCAACAAAAAAGCACATTAAACAAATAAACTAATAATAATAATAACAATGACAATAATACTAATGTTTTGTTTTGCTTTGGTTTCCTTTAAGCCAACCCGAAAAGGGTACCCAACTGTGCCCTTGGACGAAACTTGGCCTTTGGGTGCCATCTCCACCAAGCTCGGTGGTTCCCAGCCATGCGGTTTCTTAGGCTAGGTCCCCCAGCTAGGTGCCCTTCTCTCCCGTTTCTTTTTTGGTTGGGAGGGTTCCCCTACTAAAATATGAGGATGCACCTCTAGGTCCCCCAGTAGTAAAATAGACTACAGAAAAAAAAGGTACTCTTCCTTTTTCTAACCTTTCTTTGGGGAGGGTTCCCCTACTAAAATCGACTACAGAAAAAGGGTACTCTTCCTTATTCTAACCTCTCTACTGGAGGACCTAGTAGGTTTTTGGGTTTGTGGTTGGTTTAGTGGTAGTTTCCATTTCACCCAGTAAAAGTTCGACTGTTAGCGGGGGATCTGAGGACGAATCACAAAAGGGTTCACTAGAAATCATGAAAGCAACCCGCTATTGAGTCTTTGCGCGACTGCACAGCACACGATCTGGCCATGGGTCAAAACCCCGTACCCTGCAGTGAACATCCCAATCCTCACAAAAATAGACAAAAATGGGTGGTGCACCTATCCCAAAATGATGCCATTGGTTTTGAACCATGGCCATCTCATGCCAGGTCAATGTCCGTGAGCGAATTCGAAAGATGGTGCAGAAGACTGAGCAGCGGGGCTTCAACTCTACACTAACGCAGGTGGTAGAGGGATAGGCTGGCCCGCGAGTCTGGCGGAGAGCGAGTGTTACGCTTTGGTTGGTGTTTCAGCAAGAAAGTCCTCATGCGCCTGATCTTTTGATGGGGGTTGTACTCAGTTTGGGAATTGCTCGCGCTTCCTCTCGGGCTCCGGAGCTCAACATGGGCTCAAACCAGTCGCTCCAGGCATGACTCGCTACCTCTCGTTTTCCACCGATGCCCAGTGAGAAACAGAGGAATCCACGTGTTTTGTTTTTTTGTTGTGTTGAAGGCCCCCCCCCCAGAATGGAGGTTTTCCTCTTGGTTCCCTTTAGCACCACAAAGTCGGAGTTGGGTGTGGCTGTTTGTTGTCTATGGATGCTCTTTCCAGACTTTTCCGAAGCTAAGGGGTAGCCAAACGTCATGGTCCGAATTTACACTTGGTTCATGCTCCCGCCTAATCTTTTATTGAACGACCTCACAAAGAAACCCTTGACATTGGTCAAATGGCTGCAGGTCAAAAACAATGGCACCATTTTGGGGTAGGTGAATTCACCACCCATTTTTGAACCTATTTGTGTGGGGACTGAATCGGATGTTCACCAGGGGTACGATTTAGGTTTTGACCCATGGCCAAATCTTGGCAACACGTAGCGTGGATCACGCAGCCGTTCCGAAGGATCTGGAGCGCGGCTCCAAAATGTCAGAGGCCGCATGGAGCAATCGGAGGCCACGGATGGAGCCGACTGGCGAAGCGAGCGGCGTGTTGGCCATGGGACTTGGGTAAGTCGGATTTGAGCTGTTGCGCCATATTGTTTGGTTGAAAGGGGGGATTTGGCAAAGGGAACTTTCAAAAGGACGAAGTGCTGCAACATGTCTTCTTCTTCTTCTTCTTCTTCTTCTTCTTTTGTGGGGGGGGTCCAAATCCTGAACTTTGGTTTGGTTGCAAGTTCGCACCCGAAGGTATGCTAAATGGAGGCCGTGGGGTTGTCCAGACCCAGGATTTGTTGGATCTGGTGCCATTCTGGATGGCAATATCGATGAAAAGTGAGCCTGGATGCGCCAGTTGCATGGGTTTTTCAACCTGAGCAAGACAAAAAAAAAAAAAAACGCGTGGCCAGTCGAGGCAGCTCCTGATCGCCCGAACGTCTCACTCGGGACCCGTGAGTCCGAAAGCATCCTCAACTGGATGATTTGGTTGATGGGGGAACATCGAACAGCTTGAGGGGAAATCACCACACCGGTGCGGAAGTCAGATTCCTTCATCAACCAACATGTACCGTATCCGTTCGCAAGCGCGCCGCTGTGTTCTTTTTTTGGTTTGTGCAGAGATGCGAACCGGTGAAAATAGCCAGCGCGGGCCATTGCCGTTTTTTTTTGTTGTTGTTTGTTTGTCTCTCTTTTGTTCTTCGTTTATTTGTCTTCTTTTTTCTTTTTCTGGACCTCCATTTGTTTGGAGGCGTTTCCCTGCCAAATCAACTAGCCCGTTTATCCAATGGCTACTGCAGGCATGATAGGTGACATGTTGCAGAGATCTCTTGGAATTGGAGAGTTCGGCTGTCGCAATCAAAACCCCTGCGTGAATTGTTGTAAGGGGCAGTTTCTGCGGATATTGGGCTTTGGGAGGTTTGGACGCGAGGAAGTGAGAGATTGGCCTTTGCTTGAGGGCGGCTAAGGGGACCTCTCAGCAAGCAGCGGGTTTCGCATCGTTTGACCTTGGCACTTGTTTTGGTTTGCTCGAGCGCGATAACTTCGTTTTCGCTGCGGAGGCTTGCTGTTCCACATTAGAAGATTCGCTTTCTCCTGGTTTTCGGGGTAATTGCCCTCGCCCTGGGCATCAACTGTGTCCTTGAAGCGATGCAGCCCGCCGCTCTTGGCTTCAGGTACGTGTCACCAGAGGACTCAATCAACGTCCGATCACTTCAGCGCGCGATTGCACCGAACCTTTCCTGAGCTTCCTGCCAGGACCACCACCTTTGACACGTCTCAATTCCTCGCTTTTTTCTGGATAGCGAGCGAGAGGCGACCGGAAATTCACTTGCCAGAGAGCCGGATCAGATCTGTTGCGGCCGCGCGCTCGGGAGTCCAACGCCAACAAGCAAGCAATGGCTTTACTGTTCTTGGCATGCTTTTTTTTTTTTAGTTTTTTGGGTCTGTTCATTTTTACTGGGGGTCTGCAAAAAACAAAGTTTTTAGCTACCATACCAAGAGTAGAGAAGATGAATCAGCAAAAAGCAAGCTACAGAAACAAATGAGCATGCCCCCGAGCGAGCGAGCGAGCGAGCCAGCTAGCCAGCCAACCAGCCCGCCAGCCACCCGTCATGAGGCAAGCACCTTTCCTTTGATTCGAACGGCAACTTTGGTTGATGCCGCAGGCCTCTCAATCCGCACACTAAGCCCTTTCGGGGTGGCCAGTCGGCCAGGCTTCGGTTTTGGGCAATCTCGTCAATGGGCAAGCCACAAAAAAAATCAAGAGAAGAATGCGGTCGCCGTATATTTCACGTGCGGGATTTGGAACCAAAGCCCGCGGCACCTTAAAACAAAGGATTCAGAGACATGGGAGGATTTCCCTGACACGCACCTAGATGAAGTTTTGAGGTGCATGGTTTAACCATGAAGTATCCTCGCTTCCTCCACATGTTCGCGACTAGTTCGATTGTACAAACCAATAGCCACACATGTTGTGTTTTCTCCATACTTTTGTGTGGGTTCCTTCAAAATCAAACATCAGAACATCCAGCAGCCCCCCACCCACTGCTTCTTGGTGAACGTACCTGGGATTTTTCACCACCGGCCAGTTGTGGGGTGCTGGGAGTTGCTGGTTCTTTTGTGGGAAGTCATGGATGGCTTTGGAAGATACACTCCCTCGCTCCGTGGGGCCGGAGGCTTGCCAAGATATGGAATCCCAGCCAGCGGGTAGGTACCAAGGGGCTGGGCAATTGCGACCCCTAGGCTTCTTTCATGGTTGTTGTTGGGAAACATTTGGACCTTTTTGCTTATTGTGGCTGAGTGGTTGAAATCCCCACTTAACAGCTAAAAAAATAAAATGTTGCTCCCCTTCCAACGTCAACCAGGTTAAGGTTAGAGGGAAGCTGAGATTCTGAAATCCTCCTGTTCCGCTCAGGTACAGCTAGGTCGCCATGGGCGTTCAGCAATCTCTGGTGGGACAGGCCGATTTCGAGACGAAGCGTCGAGAATCGCCATGTCGTGTCGCGGAAAGACGGGAATTGTGGTGTGCTTGTCTCTTTGAAACCCCAAGGGTGCTCTCAATCAAGTCATTATAATACAAGTTGATGTCCGATTAATCACACTCCGCCCCTCCCCCCAATTGTCAATCAGGGGTAGCCCCCCCCTCAAAGAACTCACTGATTCCCTTTGCTGATCAGTGGAGTGGGGATCAATTTTGAAGTTCCAGGTAACGTGCAACATAGGTGGCTATCCTACAAGCCACGGATAAACCCCTAAGGCCTTAGGAGATACTGATGGACGAATTCCACTTCTCACCAGTTGTCGTGAATCAAATCCTTATTATGAATGCATGATTGCTGGGATTAACCAGGTCCATGCAAGTTGGGGTGTTCACTTGGGTTTGCCTCCAAATAGGGTTGCCCTAAAATGGGCCGGTTCCAACTCCGCAAGAAGACGAGCCGCAAATCCCTTTAGAACCTCCAAAGAGGTGCCGTTGTTTGCAATGGCGAGCCACAAATCCTTGGTTCCTCAATTCGTGTTTAACAAATTGGTGTGTGTGTGTCTTCAAATTGGTTTCCCGTTGTTTTGCCATGGGCTCCCCTGAAAGACCTAAGACTCCCGCATGTGACGAGGAAATCATTTGGACCCGCCATGGTTGACTTCAGGCTGCAGCCCAAGGCGCCTTCAGCCAGAAGGAGAGCCTCCGCTGTTGGCGGCAGCTTGGGGTCGGTTGCCAGACTCAGCTTACCCTCGGCCGGATCTGACTCCCTCGAAGTAGCCCCCCATTTGTTTCCAACAGGGTCTTCACAGGTTCCGTCGGCTGACCCTTTTTTGACCTGTGGCCTTTTTGGTGTTCCATCATCTTCTCCCAGCACCGCCCCCAAACTGCTGTTTGGACAGCACTTGGATGGGAGAAAGCAGGCATTGGGTGCTGGTCGTTGCTTCCCTTTTTGGAAAACCTGTTGCCTTTTGGGTGCTCCATAATGTCCGTGGTTGTTGTTGGGAAACATTTTGCAATTTTTGCTGATTGTGGTTGAGTGGTTGAAATCCAACCGCTTAACTGCTAGTTAAAGTGTTTAATTTTGTGCTCCCCTTCCAACATCAACCAAGATGTCCTCTAACCAGCGAAAGGGGGTCGGATCGATCCATTTTGCCCGGTGTTTTGACCGTGTCTGGGGGTATCACAGTCAGAAATGCTTGCCTGTTGCCCTCGAACCTACCACTTAAGTGGGGGTATTCAGGTTGAGATCATGGGGTCAGAATGGGGTTATGGGGAAAAGGCTGACCCTGTTTTGAGGGGCTCTGTTTGTTCGAACTGGTAGACCATGCCGTTTGGTTCAGGCTCACAGCAAGGAATGTGGTTGGCAGCAAGATGAGGTCCTGTCTTTGAAGTGATGGACTGTTGCTGAGGAGTTGCATCGGTTGTGGGCGAGCGTGGGTGGTCCAGCGGCTGCTTGGCCTAACATGAAGGATCCTTTGTTGGAACATGTATTTTCCTTGAACAGTTCTATAGAAGGCAGGGGACTTCTAGGTGGTCAGGAATGCTGCGCGGTACTTCTTGGGTGGGCAAGCAAGGGTTGGCCTCGCAACACCCGACTCGAGCGATTGGCGTGAGGAGTTGTACAATCTCAAGCAGGCGTGGCGTTTGGAGCACTTGCCGCAAGCCGTGGCATGGACAAGGTCACTTAGCCCAGTTGCCCAGTGGTGCCCTTTTTTGTCTCGATTTTTTTGAGGAAGGGTGCCCCTTCAAGCTCAACCAACCAACAAAGGGTGGCCTTTTTTTTCCAATGGCCACTGGGCATCTGAGTTAATGAATTTCACTTTTATTGGTTTTGACACTGATTCTTCTGTGAAGTCCAACAGCACAGGGGTCCCTACAGTTGCCTTTAGGGGGTGCTGTGACCTGTTGGCTACCAATTCAAAGTCATGAGCTCTCTTTGGTTGGGGTGGGGCACTGACGTCAGTTCGCCGAGACTGCAAAGCTGCGGCATCCTTTCTATGGTTGTCACTGGCCCGCCCATCGAATCCAATAGTAGGGGCGAGTTTTTGCCCATGAGAATCGGCCCAATCGGGTCAATTATGAAGCCTTTCATAATTGGGGGACCATTGGCAACCAAGATGCCGTGACTGTGCCAGGTATACTTCTATTTGTGTTTGCACACGACGACGCTGACCTCCTGTCCACTTGATAGGCGGAGTCGACTGCTTGTAGCTTGCAGCTCAGCTGTTGCCGCCGGAATCGTGGAAAGTCCTCGCAACAACTGCTTTACTTGGGCTTCATAGGAGTATTTCCCTTGGCCATCACGGTTGGCCATTTAGGCTCTGCCTTGAATGGTGCATCGGAACCCCTTTTTTTTTCCCCGGGATTGATCGCTTGCCAGATTCCGATCAGATTCCGTGGCAGGGAGCCTGAAAATGAGACACCATGGTACCAATGCGAATCGCTTCGCCTCGCCAGGAATCAGTTTCACTCCCTCTTTGCGAATCACAGGCAGTACAAGGCGGGGTGTGAGTCCTGCTCGAGGCTGGTGGCTTTCGGAAAGCTCGAAGGTACAAATTCCCAGACATGCTGGTTGGGAAACAGTCTACCCAGGTTTGCTTGTGGTGGTTTGGTGGTTGAAATCCAAACCCACTGAACTGTTGCCTTTTGGGTGCTCCATAATGTCCGTGGTTGTTGTTGGGAAACATTTTGCAATTTTTGCTTGTTGTGGTTGAGTGGTTGAAATCCAACCACTTAACTTAACTGCTAAAGTGTTCAAGTTTTTGCTCCCCTTCCAACGTCAACGAAGCACGCTCCATGTGGATTATACCAACATCTCGTGATCATGGAGTGTTTGGTTGCTGGGACTTTTTTTTCTTCCCCCAGGTCCAAGTACAACCTCTTAGTACAGCCTCTTCATTCAGGGCCAAGGTATTCCAACAGGTGCGGATTCCCCTGAGTTTGGATGGAGATGGTTCAGCCAGACCCTTTCAAGCCGACCAGAGTGAGACTGAGGCATACAACGATCCGCACGTGGCACTCCCCTCTCCCAATGTTTTTTTTTTTTTTTTTTTTTTTTTTTTTTTCTGACGCTTTCTGCTCTTGCTGGTGCTCAGCGGGTAATGAAACTTGCAATGACCCCAAGAAAAACCACTCCAAGTGGTTTCCTTTTTGTTGGGCATTTCCAAATTATGGACTCGCGAAATCATTCCCTGAGAGCCGGTGCAAGTTCTGGTGCTTCTCGTCCCGCCAGCCCATGTGGCGGGCCCTGTTTTCCGCCATCGACATGAACGGGGACAACGTGATAGACTTCGAGGCGCGGTTCAGAGTTTTCTCTTTCGCGCTTCGAGGACGAAACAACATGAGCCGGAAGCTCGACACTGGGGAAGTAGAAGGTATGATGTATATAATAATAATCATAATAATAATATCAAAAATAATAATAATAGTAATATTAATGCAAAATAGGAATACTCATAATTATGCATAATGATAATAATAATAAAACTAAAATATGAATAATAATAATAGTGATAATACTGACAATAAACAACTTAAATAGGAATACTCACAATACTGATAATTATAATGATAATAATAATAATAATAATACTAATACTAAAATTGGAATGGCAATACTGCTGATAATGATAATAATAATAATAGCAATAAAAATAATACTAATAATAACAATAATAATAATTAATTAATTAATTAATTAATTAATTAATTAATTAATTAATAATAATAATACTAATAATAATAATAATAATAATAACAATAATAATAACATGATAATGAACATGATAATGATAATGAGAAGAAACAAGAACATAACAATAATAATAACACTCATCATACTAATTATTATATGCGTTGAATTGGCCTTCCAACAAAGTCAATCACAGAGCCCAAAGCGCACATCATGTAGGTTCCTGAAGACGCTCCAGCAGAGGCTTGCGGAGTTTTACAGCAGCCCAATACATTGGCTATCCCATGGTCTAGAATGAGGCCCAGGGGCCCAACTGAACAAACAGGAGTAGCGCTGTCCCGAGCAGCCTCCTTTGGTGGTTGCTTGGATTTTCGGTGCGGCGTTCAGAGGTCACATTTGATGGTTGGCTTGGTTGTCTAGGTCCCCCAGTAGTGCCCTCCCCTTTTTTGGGGGAGGGTTCCCCTACTAAAATGACATACGGCAAAAAGTTGGTACCCATATTCTAACCTCTCTACTGGAGGGCCTAGTTGTGCGGCTGGCTGGCCGGCCGGCTGGCTGGTTGCTTCATCTCGGCTTGGCTGGGTTCGGTCTTTTGGCTCGGCTCGATGAATCGAAGTGCCTGGATTCCGTAAGGGTCCACCTCAGGCGCTGCGATGCCCTTTGAATCCTTCAACAAGAAAGCCCAAGAAAACACTTACACCACAGATTAACAACAGATACCCAAAGAAACCCAAACCAACTGTACGAAAACCAGAACCAAAGTGGTTGCATTATGTATCCTCTGGGGTTAGGTTTGCCTTTTGCCTGGTCAGATTTGGCTGTCAAAACCAATGGTACCATGTTGGGGTAGGTGCACCACCAATTTTAGAACCCATTTTAGTGGGGATTGGGATGTTCACCAGGGGTACAGGGTGTTGACCCATGGCCATTTGGATTTCCCGAGACTCATCCATCGCCGCCAACGAACCGTGAGGAGTTCCTGACCTTCGTCACGCAGCTGAAGCGCGGCGGGACGGAGGCGGGGGAATCGGTTCGCGGCGCAGGTTCGGCCGTTGCCTTGTGGCAGACAGGGGAATGGGTTTGTTGTTGCTCAGAACTACGGGGTGAATCAGAACTACTGGGTGAATTCCCTTTTTTGTTTTTCATCCTTTTTTTGTGCGCAGTTTGAGAATTCAGGTGGTTCCATTTGTTTTTTGTTTCTTTGGATCCCCCGAGAAACGGATTCCGTTTGTTTTTCTTCGACCCGGAAACTGATCTTCTAGATACCCGGTGCCATGTTAGTGATTTGCTCACGGTTGCCCTTTTCAGGTTGGTTCTCGATTTCGCTTGGCTTTAATTGGAACACCATTCTGACCCAAATTTTGTGTTGCTCAACATAGGGATACCCTAAAATGGTCGGTTTCCTTTTGGCGCCCCTCAGAACTGGAAAGAGCATTTGGCCCAGTGCAGTCCCTTCCATACTCCACGGAAAGTGAATTTGTGGGTAAACATTCGCCCTGCCCGAAGGGTGTATTTTGCAAAAGCCGGGTTTTCACAGTAAATACTCTTGTTTTGGCGGGGTTGACATACCATAACACAGCGGGTATTTGGAGTTTGGGGTGCATGGAGTGGGAGGGTCCTTTGATAGGTGAGGATGCATTTGGTGATTCCCTTTTTGACCCAATCTCCTTCCAAGGTAAGTTCTGGGTCTCATGACTTTCCCAGGTGAGTGTGTTTTTGTTGATGCTCGAGTTCGTCGCCTGATTCTCACAAGGGAAGCCGCCGAAGGTGGTGTTCTTTGGTTTCCAACGCTAGGTTGCCACCTACATAGTCCAGTTTGGTTGTTTTGGTCTGAAAAAAACGATGGCGATTCCGGGTTTTATGTGGTTCAATCAGGTTGCTCGGAAAAAGAAAAAAATCCGGGCTTTATGTGGTTCAATCATCTACCAGGGCCAGCAAAATATCCCTGGTTCGAATCGAGGCCAAGAGGCGGCTCTGCTTTCGCCTCTTCGACTCCAACCAGGATGGCTTCGCAGAGAAGGCGACACTCGCGAGCTGGGCGGTTTTGGGAAAAAGGTGAGCCGCAACCAAAGAAGTGATGGAAAATAGGCATGTTGGGGACACCCCACTAAAAAATGCTTGGTTTCCTGGAACATAGGCATATGTTGGTCTCAAAATTGGGAAACACCCCCTAAAGAATGCTTGGTTTCCTCTTGGCTTCCAATTTTTGAAATGAAAAGGGGAAACGCACCCATGTGCGGCTGCCCTTTAAATGGTTGAAAATTGGTTTGGTCTACCCCACTTTGATACCAGGTTGTGATTGTCATTGTCACTTAGCTCGTAAGGGACACTGTGGGTTGGCGACAGGAATCTCCCCTAAACTGGACATCCATTTTGGGTTGGTTTAAAAAATAAATAATCACTTGTGGTTGCCATTTTCGACAGGAATCTCCCCTAAACTGGACATCCATTTTGGGATGGGTCCAAACGATCCTTAGGCGGACTTCCGCGGCATCCTAGAGACGAAGATCGCAGTGCTGAGGCCACGATTCGACCGAAGGGCGATTTGTTTCTCGGTGGAGTTTCTCCAGCTTCCAACTCGCTTCTTTTGTTTTGCCGCGTTCCCTTTTTTTGTTTTTGGGGTCCTAAGGGCTTGCCTTTGGACTTCTGGTGTTGAAGT